AGATGGAGTACAACAAGGGTCCTAAGACGGACCCTTGTGGCACTCCCCGTTGAAGGACCACCGAGGCTTCGTCGGCGCCAAACTCTAGGTGTACCTGCTGTCCGGTAAGCCATGACCTAAGGGTGCGCACCAAGTATGGTGGCACTCCTAGACGGTTGAGCTCTGAAATGATAAAAGAATGCTTAACGCTGTTGAAAGCATTGCTTTCGTCTAGCGTAAGCAAAAGGGTATGGTGACCCTTCTTTCCCATTCCACTCTTGTAGGCTTCGACGATCCTCTCCAATGCCGTGTCGCAGCTGCGACCGCGGCAGAAGCCATGGATCTCCGGCACTCGGAACTTGTCGCCTAGGCTGTGAAGAAGCCTCTCAGCGATGACGGACTCAAGGAGCTTGCTAGCGCATCGAAGTAATACCACAGGACGCCAGCCAGAAGCCGTGAAGATATCTCGACCTGGTTTAGACAAAGCAATACATTTACCGTCCTTCCATTCCTCTGGGTATTCTCCAGTCTTTAAGATATCTGTGAAGGCTTCGGCCCATTTAGCAGCAAGCTGTGGCGCAGTCTTCTTCAAGACTTCCCCATTGACGCCATCGCTGCCAGGAGCCGAGATCTTCAACCTTCCAATCGCTTGTAAGACTTCGTCCTCTGTGACTTCTTCCACCAGGTCTCGATTGATCGGACGGACGCCAGCTCTGTCTAGACCTCGCTGTCGGTCATCGTCTCGAGGGAATAGCTTTTGTAGTAGATACTCCGCTTGGTTGGAGTCTGGCCTGCCGTTAAGAACAGCAGCAGAAGACTTACTTTTAGGGCCTCTGATGCAGCTTGAAAAGTCTTTAAGGGATGCATAGAAGCGATCCCGGGCCCTTTTCTTCGCCGCGCGGACTTCGATCCTGTAGAGTCTTCGTCGCTCCAGAAGCTCTTCTTGCCAATGCTCGATCTGGAGCACGGCGCCGTTCCTCTTGGCTGCTTGGAGTTTCTTCTGCGCCTTGTTGAGACCCTGTTTCAGCTTCGTCAGCTTCTGACTCCACCAAGAAGGTGAGTCACGTCCCTCCATCAGAGGGGTGTTGGCCGCTACAGCCTCCGAAAGTGTAGCGGCGATTTCCACAGCAGAGGAGTGGTCCGGGATGGTCGCAGCAACTTCACCGACCTTCTTGTGGTCAGTGAGTCGTAGTTGTAGTCTCCGGGGAATACTAGGTGCAGAGTCCTGAAAACTAATTCGAATCAACCGATGGTCGCTACGTGAAAACTCATCGGAGAGTTTCCATTCATGTAACGGCACTCGGCCGAACGCCACAGTGACGTCAATATGCGAGCTTCCAACACCACCGACAAAGGTCGGGTCTGGAAACAGGTCTGGCCTGTTTAAGACCATCCCGTGTCCACGCAGACAGATGGTGAGGAAGTCGTCGCCAATCTTCCACTGGGCGTCATGTCTGCTGCTGGTGGGGAGGGGAGACCCCCATAACGCAGAATAACCATTGACGTCGGCACCTAAGATGAATCGGCCGACGATGGCGAAGGCTTCTTCCAGATCCTGGAAGGCCTTCTCTCGCCGAGCCGAATTGTTGGGATGGGCGTAAAGTGATGCGAAGGTGCCGAGACGAGTCCTAACTAAACAGAAGTCTTCGTTGGCCATCATCGACGTTCCTTCAATTCCGTTCCTAAGCAAAATGCCAACCCCGCATCCTTTCCGACCATGGAAGGAATAGGATGGGGGTGGCTTAAAGTACTTCGGTACTTCTTGACAGAGTACCACATCTGCTCCTAAAGTACAGATAATACTAGACGCAACTTGCCTTTTCCCAAGGTTGAGCTGCACTAGCTCTAACATTAGTTAGAGCTAGGTGCTGCCACCGCGCCAAAGTCTGTCCTTTCGGCCAGACGACGGCAAAAGGCCTGGGCGCTGGGACAAGCGGCGGAGGTGGCCTGGTGGTTGGCTTGGCGACGACCGGGCTTGCCGAGACGAGCTTGCTGCTGGTTGAAATCCAAGCAGTTGCGGCATCTCTCGCCGCCAGCGTTGCACTGTTGTCGCTCATGTGAACCTGCGCACCTGGTACAAGTACAGTCTTTACCGTTAGCCTTCTCCGGACAGTTGGGGCTTATATGCCCCAACTTCGAACAATAAAAACATATCGTCGAATCTCTGGCAAGGCTCCATCTCGTGAGTAAATGATTTATCTTGAGCTTCTGAGTCTTCGACGCTTCCAAGGCTCGGAAGAACTCAGGAGAGGCTGCTACCACGAGGTTTGGTCCGCGCCAGTGGATCGATTGAACGATGCCACTGGGGACATTTTTACCTGTAAAAACAGAGGCATTTTCCTCGCGGATCACTTTTTCGAGTGATGCCGCGGAGATGTCTCTGGACACTGCTGCTCCAAAGCAGATAATGCGCGGGAAGCGCGTCTGCTTCTTAGAGCAGCTGTAGCCGGTCAACTTAGCGTCGACACAGCTAATCACACTTGGTACGGCCGCCGCATCACGGATGCTTAGGCCGATACCAACCTGTCCTACTGGGAAGACGCCAGTAACGACAATCTCCTTTGGTAGCGCCTGAAGGGCAGTTACTCGAAGAGCCGAAAACTGCGCCTTGCTCAGAGGCGCAGGATTTTGACCCGTAGGCCTGATAATTACCACTGGCCGGCTACCACTAGTGGTAGCCTTTTTCGCTGCCGACGCAAACGGGTTAGGCGCCTGCTGCACGCGTGGCTTCTGTCCGCCACGAGCTGGGCCAGCGTTACCGCTGACCGCAGTCGCATAGGACTTAGGCGCACGACGTGCAGTGACCACTGTAAACCCGTCTTTGTCGACAGGAGCTGGGGCCTGGCGTCTCGGAGGTGCGGCAGTGGTCTGGCGCGGCTGCCCAGTGGCAGGACCGGCCTTCGCACGTTGCGCTTTGGCCTGACGAGCCGTAACCACTCCAGGGTTAACCGACCGTCTTTGGATGGGCAAGGTTGGGGTGGAACCCGCAGGTTTGGCATCAGCCGAACCACTGCCCAGGCTGGCCTGTACGAGCTCCACAATGGAGTCCAAAAGAGCCGATATAACCGGGGCTTGAGGACCCAAAGGGAGAGTACTGATCAGGGTACGCAAGAGCGCAATGATCTGGCACAACGCTGGTGCAGGATTGGCGTTAGCCGCGCCTGACGCAACCTGCTGGCCGTCCGAGACACCAGAGCATAGCTTAGAGTCACCGCTTCCGTCTCGCGAAGGGTAGGGACGAGGAGGTGAAGGCTCGCGCGCAGGGGAAGGGGGAAAGAGGGGCGCAGGGGTGGAGGACGCGGGGGAGGAAGGTGCGCCGCCATATTGAAAGTCCAGCACGTCTGCCTCCAGCTGATCCATCGAGACATCCGCTTCTATAGGGCACTCGTCTGCCCAGCTATTGCCGTCCGCGCCTTCATTGGCCAGCATGTCCGACTGCATCTTGTCCCAATGACGTTCGCAGACATCCGGATATAGATCACAACGTGAATTCATATCGGAGAAACACGGATCCCTAACTAGAGCAAAGCGCTTAGGCGAAGAGTTTCTACCTGATTTCTCTAAACTCTTCTCGTGACGGTTCGTTGACGAACCTGGTGACTGCGCCGGCTGAGCTAGCGAATTAATACCACACTTCGCCGAACTCTTGCCAGAGCGCCCAGATGGGAGGCCTGGAAGACCTGGTATGGAAGCACTGCTTCTACCTTTGTTAGTTAATCTATAGTCCTTATCGGACTGCCTCAAGGCTTTGTTGTTTGTCTTAGAGGGTAACCCCATAGAACAGAGAAAAGATAGGATAGATCAGGAGAGCGACTTGCTGGCAAACACTTTTGAATTTGCTACTTTCAACATTTGGTTGCTAAAACCTATACCAGAAATTGCTAGGGTGTAAATGGGGTTGCCACTTTGCAACTGGGAAAGCAGCACGTACAAAAGAGCAAAAAAGTGAGACTGTCAGAAATTATAGCATTTGGCAAATCCGCAATATCAGCAAAAAGTTGCGATTGCCGGATTGTATTACACCGCAGAGCGGACGAGGATTCCTCGTTCATGACGATAATCTTCCGGTATCCTCGCAAGTAATCTCTCATACGTACCCCTCGTCATTCCAATAACTTTGCTCTATTGCACCTCAAGACTATCAAATATTCACTGGTCTATATCAGTCGACTGTGCAACCCTCTACCCCATACACTAACGGACCCAACAAGCCAGATATGGAAATTACTAAATTGTCAGAACATCCTGGATGTAAGACTCTACTACTTCAAGAGTTGAGTTGAGAGATATGAGATTAAAATGAAAAGTTGAACCATTAGTTGAACATAAACTACTCAGCATTAACCTTGCTAGCGAAAGATCAGATACATTCACATGGAATACTCTCCCAAAGCTGACGCGTTTCAGAGCCCTCGCTCAAACGCCTATCGCTTTGACAGAAACTAGGAGTACTCCAATACTTACAATAGGATCCGGGCATGATAGAATCACAGTAAGCATCACCAACAGGACACTCCGAAACGCTGGAAGCAGTTGTAGATGGTGAAGCTGTAGTCGGAGGAGTTGTGGTCGTAGTCGGAGGAGTTGTAGTCGTAGTCGGAGGAGTTGTAGTCGTAGTCGGAGGAGTTGTGGTCGTAGTCGGAGGAGTTGTGGTCGTAGTCGGAGGAGTTGTGGTCGTAGTCGGAGGAGTTGTTGTCGTAGTCGGAGGAGTTGTTGTCGTAGTCGGAGGAGTTGTTGTCGTAGTCGGAGTCGAAGGACAATCACATGGGATACTCTCCCACAGCTGACGCGTCTCAGAATCCTCTATCAAACGTCGATCGCTCTGGCAGTAACTAGGAGTACTCCAGTACTTGCAATAGGATCCGGGCATAATAGAATCACAGTAAGCATCACCGACAGGACACTCCGAAACGCTGGAAGCAGTCGTAGATGGTGAAGCTGTAGTCGTAGTAGTCGGAGGAGTTGTGGTAGTAGTCGGAGGAGTTGTGGTAGTAGTCGGAGGAGTTGTGGTAGTAGTCGGAGGAGTTGTGGTAGTAGTCGGAGGAGTTGTGGTAGTAGTCGGAGGAGTTGTGG